AAAGTCAAAATAATCATTGCATAAGCTAATATGCTTGAGTAGCTCAGAGCTGCATGATACGAAACTCGCGCAGGTGGGAATTATTTGCAGCACACGTTCAGGTGCCACAGCTCATAGACAAATATCGTAGCGGACTTAAGAGCGAGGTGACTAATTAATCTCTAAGGAATAAACTGAAGTTTTTCAACTACATTTGTTCATATTTCGAAGCGCCCTCATCAAGGACATTTATACGTTTCTTAGTCACATAAATTTAAATCAATTAAATGAAATTAAACAAGTTTTTACTTAAATTAAATTAATATAATATTAGCAACCCCATTTTAAGGAAATTAAACAATTTGAATTCACTCAAAAGTGAGAAAAAATTAAAATAAAAATAATACTAGTAAGTATTCATGATCTAAACGATGGCATATATATATATATATATATATATATAAGTTAGGTAATTGAATAGGGGACATCTGCAATAAATTTGTGATTTTTTTCGTGCTGTAATATTTTATATATAATATAATATTTTGACATATACTTTTGCGCTAACCTTTAGAGGGAGCCTACACGAACGTAACTGTCAAACTTTGAGGCTAAGACTTAGGGCATTTCCCATGTACATCGATAGAGAAGGTCAACAGTTATTAAATAATTTCATTTTTGTCAACGCGAGTATACATATATTGCGTATTTCCCGATTTGTAACGTGCCTCACGGCCGTGTCGTGTAAATCTTAACGCTTTCTCAGGCTGAGTTAATCACGAGTATATATTCCATTTCAATTCTGTACCTTCACAATGATTTGTATTTCTATTGGATATGTTACTATTTGAAGCCTCTTTCAGTGAAAAGATTCGCGGAAGAGGCTGGTCCTTCGACATAGGAGAGCATCATTTTGATGGCATTTCCCTGCTGCCTAGAGACGGCATTTGTGAATTAATAGCCCATTTTTGTTTTATATATATGCAATGTATTAAACAAGTTTATTCAATTCATTTAACTAATAATGAACGGCCTGTTAAAGGTTCTGCTTAACCTCTGAATCTACGGTTCCTGTTCCTGTTCCTGTTTGTATTTGTACCTCTGTTCCGATTTCTTCTGTTCCTGTTCAGCAGTTGAGCCCTTCTTCTTTGGGCAGCCAGGCGTCTGGCGCGATTCCTCCTCCTGCGTGCGGCCCTAGCACGCTGCCTCCTCAAACGGCGTAGGCGTTGCCTAAGTCGAGTCACTGTAGCTTCCGCCGCACTAGTGGTCGTATCAGAGCTGGACACGGTTGTGGTGGCGCTTGCATCGCTTGTATCGCCTGCAGCTGTTGTTCCACCTCCAGCAGAAGCCGCCGTTGTAGTCGCGGCAGTCGTCGTGGATCGGCAACTAGGCTCACTTGCATTTGCGGTTTCTGTGCACTCCGCCGCAGTGCACGCGGTTGGATCTTCGCATGCCGCATTGCTGCCTCGCAACAGGCAAATGGCCAAGACGGCACAGCCGAAGATAACAGTTTGAATTCTCATATCGATGCCGAGTAACTGGTTCGAATGTCCATCTGTGGCCGCAACAGCACAATTTATAGCAATTTTCACTTGCTATGAGTTTGTATTTAATTTCAGTTATCATTGAGTGTGACGCAGCTAACCTCATTGTATTTAGACAGATTTTTCTGATTTAAGTTATTTGCGTCTTATTATTTGAACAACTGTTAAACAAAAACATTTCAAATGAAATCAGCCTAAATATATTTCTAAAGACACCTAGCTGATAGCTGTGAAACTCGTGTATTTTCGACAATTTTAATTTAGAATATCAAAGCGCAGTTCTGGGCGTGCGCTTAGTCATTTTTTCTTTCTCAAAAAATCGCTTGATAATTATTAATTAATTTTTATTAATTAACGTAGAAGCTCTGGTCAATTGAAAGCAATACAAATAGAAAGGTTGCATCAATTTTAAATTAATTAATAATAACCTAATAAGCTATAAAATGGCATAATATTTATACTAAATGCTATCACTTCTCTGTCAATTTCCCTGAATGCTAAGCAGTTTTCAATAATTATTATCTGTTAAAATTATATTCAAAAACTATAAAATGTTGCTAACATTCAATAAAAAACTTAAGCTAGGTGTGCATAGCTATATAGTTTTCTCAGCATGAGGAACAACCCAGTAAAAGACTAAATATTGAAACTTCTTTCAAATCCCATTATGCAAAGATAATGCTTCTGTAAAACCGCACGTTTTCCCAAAAGAAATCGTTTATCAGGAGCCCAACGAGAACCAATTGGGGTTGCTACTCACATTATTCCATCAAAAATATGAAAAATATGGCTCGATAGATCACTGCAATCAGGACAAGCAGACTGGCTGCAACAGCTTTGCTGTCTGCTAGTCCAAGGTCCAAAATCAAAGAGGGAATTCTCATTTTTTTGTCAATGAACATGGAAAAATAATGTCGGAGCTTTGAAGCATTAATAACTGAATATTGTTGGCTTGAATTAATTGTACTCGCAATTTGCGCAGTTGTGCCAATCATGCTGTTGTTAAAGAGCTTCTTTCTTTGAATCATCAAAAAATTAGGTATTTACCCGATTGCGGGACAAAACAAACCGCTGTGTCTCACTCATCTGAGCTCAATATAGATCGCTGCGATACAAACAATGTGAATCATTCAATATACAACTGAATCTTCAAGTCTATGCCATGCTTGGCGTGAAAAGTATCGTGGGCATTGCGCATTTGTTTGAAAAATTGCGGAAAATGAAAGTTTTGTTTTCGAGTATTGAAGTGGAGAGTAAGAAGCAGCAGCAACTGATGGATACATATGTAAATGTATCTGTTAAAGTTAGCAAGTGCAAGATGCGAGTTAATAGATGTGGTCGGGCTTACCTTGCTTAGGCTTGGATATGCACACACACAGAGCGAACTGAAGCGCACTCGTGTGCTTCTTCAGCCATAATAGACACACACACACACGCATACAGGCAAACATTTACATTGCACTTGCGAAATCAAACTAAATGCGAGCAACGCTCAAGGTTTATGCCAACATGCACGTGTGTCTAGGTAAGTGTGTTTGTGTCTGTGTGTTTAAAAAGCTCTGTTGGCACAGGAACAAATGGAAGCAAAAGCGAAAGGCAGCTAGCGTCTGACTTAACTGCCGTGTGCTTTACGACGCAACATTTTCGAAATTATAGCCAACTTATGGGTGAGGCGGGGGGGTTGGTTAACAATTGCAACAGCTCAAAAATCTCTGCGCCACCTGCACGCAGGTGTTGCGACGCGTTGTCAATTTGTTAAAGTGCACGTTGAATAATGCAGTCAACGGCTGAACACTCGTCCTGTGCCTTTATTGACTGCTTCAACTGGGATCAGGGCAACTGCTGATGCTGTCAGCGAAGCCAAAATCTTTCCTTTAAGAAAAACCAAATCCGATTAGCAGTAATATTTGTTGCTATTCACTTCATTTGTATTGAGCTCCGGCTGCACTTGCTTCACTTGCATCTAGCCAAGAGAAACAAAATTTTGTTTTAGGTTTTCCCTTTTGTTGCTGTCTACTAAAGTTGGAAGCCACTCGTTTCGGTCTAATGATTTAAGAGGGTCCTTGCTGCAGGCAGGATATAAAGACAATGGCAAACCTGTTTCGCTTCCACTTTTCTCTGCTTCGGTTAATAAAACAACTTCAACTTTTGCTTACCTTGAGGTCTTCTTTGAGTTTTTTCTCCCTGCTTCAGCTAGAAATTTCAATACGAAAAATACACAAAAACTTCGTAAAGAAACTTTGCAATTATTTAATTTTATTTTTATTATTAAAACAATGGATTTGTTAAAGTTTAAGGTCTTTTATAAGCCATTAAAACAATTACAAAATACGTGAATTTTATACATTTATTTAAAAAATTAATTTACTTTTTTAATATAGTCGAAAGTTAGAATAGGTTTTTGATCTAGACATTTCTTTCCCCTCTCTCTCTCTCTTTCTCTCTCTTTCTCTCTCCTTCTTTCCCTCTTTCCCTCCCCCTCTCTCTCTTCATCTCGCTCTATTTCTATCTCCCTCGCTCTGTCTTTGTCCGTCTTCTCCTTTCTCGCCCTCTCTCTCCCTCTCCTGCCCTCTCTCCTGATTTTTCTCTCTGTCTCTCTCTCTCTCTTATGTTTGCTCCTTAAGCTTTACTAACAATTAAATTCGAACACATCACCTCAACTGTGGGCAGCTCAAGTGTATATAAAAATGCTGTTCTTATTCGTAAAGAACATAGTTTCCATGTCATTAAACATTTATTTTTAACATATTATTATCGATATTTGGTTGTGCAGCACACGAAGAGCAGCAGCAACAACAACCAGAAAAAAAAAGAAAAAACAATAACAAATTACCTTAATTTGGCAAAATTGTGCCACAACAGAGTTAGAAATGTTTTTGTGGGGGCGTTGGGCGGCAGGTTGGAGACAAAGGCTAAGTTGAATTTGTCGTGGATAGGCGCACAGCACTTGCGTGCTTCCCAGGTCGAGGCTGCCCTCGTAATTGGCCCCTCGCACGCAGCCCAAGGGCATTTTATATTCAATTACCAGTTTAGAAGAGCCCGACCTCTTACAGCCAACTGCTAATGGTTACCTGTGACCGGGCGGGCTCAGTTTTATTTGGAATTGAACGCAGGCCAGGTGCCAGGTCGCATGGTCTAAGTGTTCAAGGAATTCAATTCGGCCAGAAATACACGTTAGCGACAATATCGAGCATAATGTATGCATACTCGTGCCACATACATGCCCACTGCACATACAGCTCATGTACATTTTAAAGACGCCTCTAATAATGTGCGCTTATCGTTCTATTAATATCAAAGCTGGCCGGCAGCGCAATTACAAGAGTTAATTAAATGCCGCCCACGGGCACAGAATTCAATTATTTTAGCTTGTGCTGTACACAATTTAAGCCTTTCATTAACATTTGCAGTACATGTCTCTCTCTCTCTCTCTCTCTCTCTATCTCTATCTCACTGCCTCTCTCTCTTGCATTGCAGAAGTCGCCGCGCAAGTTATCCAATTCGTCGGTGCATGCACTGCCCGAGAGTCGACGCCATTTGATGGAATTAGATGAGGGCGAGCTCTTCATGGAGCTGATACGTGACGTGGCCAACGAGCTGGACATCGATGTGCTTTGCCATAAGATATTGGTGAACGTTGGCCTGCTAACCCATGCGGATCGTGGATCTCTCTTTCTGGCCAAGGGCACGCCCCACAACAAGTACCTGGTGGCCAAGCTCTTTGACGTCACACAAAAGACAGGTGAGCCCCAAATGCCAATTTGCGAAATCCCAATATCCAGCTATTGTCCAAAATGTTGCCAAGCAACGACAAAGCGCATTCCGAAAGCAAAAACTGCAAATGCAAACTGGGCCACAGCCACATCCACAGAGCTGCAGCCACAGCTAGAGACCAGTTTGATTAGGCCAACAGAACAAAGTGATTCGAAACAACAATCCAATTCTGAATTGAATGTGACGTTTTTCAACTCGGCTCTACATAATTGAGCTCCGATTTGAATGCAGGCATAATGCAAATCATAACAAAGACTGCCAAGGACAAAAGTTGCCTAGCAGCAAGCCAAGGCAAACTGAACTCTTTAATTCCTCTGAATGATGTCGACCTAAAGGTAGTTAGTTAATAGTTATTGAGTGGACTTATAGCCGATTCAAAGTAAGCATTAAGCAAGTGCCATCGAATTTTTCGACTCGTTAACCCACACAAATTGACGCTCATTAGCGGCTAAGGGCAACGAGCATGGCGCTTCGGTTAGACCGCGGAGCGGGAAACGCATTAGCAAATTAAGCCTAAGCGGAAACGGGCATTAAAAGTTTTTTTGTTTTTTTTTTTTTTGGGCAGGGCAGACCGTAAAACTCAAAAGGTTCCATCAAATGAAAAATAGATGCTGGCTAAAACGTGTTCACAGAAACAGACAGAGAGAGAGGGAGGGAGAGATACAGTGAGAGCGAGAGAGAGAGAGAGACAGCGCTTATTTGCTATGAAATCTGTGTGTGTTGGTTTTTGTGCCTAAAAGTCACCTCTTCCGCTACATAATTCACATGGCAAAAGATTAGAGCTGGAGCGTAACCAAGGTTTACTTTTCGGCACACACACACACATAGATAGATAGATAAATACACAGATGAATCGGCAAATGCAAATTCAACTGGGAGCAGCGACTCGTAATTTGACTTTTAGCGCCTCTGGCCGGGATTGCTGTTGAAGCTAATGTATCTCTTGCATGGCAGACTGAATATTTTGTCTATAAATTTAATATTTATGTAGATATGTGCGTTGGCGTTGCCTTTTAATGATTTATGCGGCCCGGCCCATGCCCGCCACCCAAATCCAATCTCGTTTTCAGCACTCAAGGATGCGGTGACGCGGGCGCGAGCCGAGGAGATCATCATACCGTTTGGCATTGGCATTGCTGGCATGGTGGCCCAGACAAAGCAGATGATTAACATCAAGGAGGCCTACAAGGATGCGCGGTTCAATTGTGAAATCGATTTGAAGACCGGCTACACAACCAACGCCATACTCTGCATGCCCATCTGCAATTACGAGGGCGACATCATAGGCGTGGCGCAAATCATCAATAAAACCAATGGTAAGCCAAATCGCAATCGCCGTAAATTAGCTCACTTATTCACTGCCAACTGACAGGCTGCATGGAGTTCGACGAGCACGATGTGGAAATATTTCGCAGATATCTAACGTTCTGCGGCATTGGCATACAGAATGCCCAGCTCTTCGAGATGTCCGTCCAGGAGTACAGGCGCAATCAAATCCTTTTGAATCTGGCGCGCAGCATCTTCGAGGAGCAGAACAATCTCGAGTGCCTTGTCACCAAAATCATGACCGAGGCGCGGGAGCTGCTCAAATGCGAGCGCTGCTCCGTTTTTCTAGTGGATCTCGACTGCTGCGAGGAGGTGAGTTGAGCCTGGGCCAATTGACTCACTGAAGTCGACTGTTATCCTGTGGCTGTTGCTGTTGCTGGCTATTTCAACAAGCACATGGCATTTGGCATATGAATTAAATGAAAATGTTTTCGCTGCCCGCCCATCCATGCGGGGCGTGGCAGTTGCGGCAATTGCGGCGATGTCGTTGTCAGTTTCATTAAAATTAAAATGGCTTAAACGCCAACGCGGACATTTTTCGTGCCTCTGTCGCTATCCGTTTGTCAACTTAACTGTAACTGTGTGCGTGCGTGTGTGTGGGTGTGTGTGTGTGTGTGTATGAGCGCACCCCAAGGAAATTAAAATGTACAATTTATATTACAATTTTTATCTTTTGTTTGGATATTTCATTCATCCGAAAAAATTGCAAAGGTAAATTAAGTCAAGCCTGGGCAATTCCCATTGAGCTACTAAGCAGCGACTCGCAATGCCCTTTCCTCACGAACTACGCTCTCATTACATAATGCCCATAGAAACAGCGGGTAATTCTGAAAAGGCCCGTTTGTGTCTTTCTGCGTGTGTTTTGAGTGCTTGACACCCAAATAAAGCAACTGCCACCGCCCTCTGGCCCAGCCCTTGAGCCAACACGAAACAATTGTGCAAATGACTAGAAAATGTTTTTATTGTGTTTCTTTTTTGTCTTTTCCTTAAGTAATCAATTCTGCTTTTATATGTTACGCAGTTAAAAATTGTCTTAACAGAAAAACAGATTTTGTATTTGCTCTTAGAGCTCATAACAGCTTCGACTCGAGTTTATTAAAGCAAACTAATAAACGAAAATTTAATAAATATGTGATATATTCAATGCTACTCATTCGCCTAGAGACATGATTTTATTCACATTCACATTCATTCAACAAGTTGACTTGACTTGCTGTGAGAGCGAGGAACATCTTTAAGTTTAATATTTATGCAACTATTTGGCCAATTGTGAAGCGTATAGAAAACTCAACTGAAAACAATTTAAAGCATTTAAAAATAGCTCAGATATGTTCGCTCAACAAGATACTATATATATATAACTGCATATATATATGCCAATAATATGCATAACATGTTGAGGCCTGAGGTAAAACTTTGATGTGGCCATTGCAATTGTAATTTATGAGCTGCATTCCGTCAGGCAGGGATGAGCCGTGTAACCAATTAAATCGAACTGGGTCAAGCGTATTAATTATGATAATATTGTTTTTAATTAATTGCATTTAAAAGTATGTGAAATGCACATTCATAGCCGGTAAATGTTTTTCTGCTGCCATTCTTTTTGCTGCTAAATTAAATTCTGATTGCTTTTGATTACGTATTCATTACGTTTAAATGGGATTACCCGACGAATAGCCAATTAACTAGAGTCCGGTAAAGGCATGTATATGTATATATATTTATATGGGAAATGTTTGGATCCTTAAGTGTTAAAAATTTGCCAAGTCATGTGCAGCACATCCGTTGAATGATGTGCAACGCTGTGCGGCAGGCAAATATGTTGAGTGCCTGCCACACTCTGGCCCTGTGTCGGTGCCAGCCGAGGCAATTTATCAGCCCGGCAGCTGCACGGGCAGCCATTAGTGGCAGCCACTTAATGTCCGAGTGCCTTGCATGCCTCTTTTCGCAGAGCCATTTGGAAAAGATAATCGAGAAGCCTCATCAGCTCCAGCAGCGCACCTCGCGTGCCATTATGAGTGGCGACAGCTTCGAGGAAAAGGTGAGCTGGATGCTCTTTATTCTCATATGCATGCTTCATATTCAATTGTGCCTTGCAGCAAAAGATGCGCAATCGCTTCACCGTGCTCTTCGAGCTGGGCGGGGAAAATCATGCGGCGAATGTGTCGCGGCCCTCCATCAGCGATCTGAGCCACTCGACGCTGGCGCAGATTGCCCAATTCGTGGCCACCACCGGGCAAACGGTGAACATTTGCGATGTTCACGATTGGGTTCGGGAGCACAATCAAATACGCGCCGAGAGCGAGATCGACAGCACCCATGCCATACTCTGCATGCCCATTGTGAATGCCCAGAAGACGGTCATTGGCGTGGCCCAGTTGATTAACAAGGTGAGTTACCTGCTCAAAACTGCCTTAGCCAGTGCTGGCTAATGTCGCTGCTGTTGTTCTGCAGGCAAACGGTCTGCCCTTTACCGAATCGGATGCATCCATATTCGAGGCATTTGCCATATTCTGCGGCCTGGGCATACACAACACACAGATGTACGAGAACGCCTGCAAGCTGATGGCCAAGCAGAAGGTGGCCCTGGAGTGCCTCAGCTATCATGCCACGGCCAGTCAGGATCAGACAGAGAAACTCACCCAGGACCCCATTGCCGAGGCCGAATCGTACAATTTGTACAGCTTCACTTTTACGGGTAAGTGTGCTGGAGGTGGTCAACCCTGTGGATGCTCTCTGATCTGTATCCCATCTAGACTTTGACCTGATTGATGATGACACCTGTCGTGCAGTGCTGCGCATGTTCATGCAATGCAATCTCGTCTCCCAGTTTCACATACCCTACGACGTAAGTGACTAGGCTTGAGCTTACGACTCGACATACACCTGGTTTGATTCCCTTTCAGGTGCTCTGCCGCTGGGTGCTGAGCGTTCGCAAGAACTATCGCCCAGTCAAATATCACAATTGGCGACATGCTCTGAACGTGGCTCAGACAATGTTCGCAATGCTGAAGACGGGCAAAATGGAACGTTTTATGACCGACCTAGAGATACTGGGCCTGCTGGTGGCCTGCCTGTGCCACGATCTGGATCATCGCGGCACCAACAATGCATTCCAAACCAAAACTGAATCCCCGCTGGCTATACTCTATACCACCAGCACCATGGAACATCATCATTTCGATCAATGTGTTATGATACTCAACTCCGAGGGCAACAATATATTCCAGGTAATCATCACGTACCTTATATACACTCTATATATTTGGCTTTCATTTCCATGCCCATCAATTTCTACCCCAAAAAGTATGCTGTATAATCTTTATCGATTTCATCTGAAATCTTTGTTAGCCAGCTATACAAATTATTATGATATTAACAGCTTCAGAAAGTCTTTGCCTCTAAAATATGCAGTTTATTATGAATATAAATAAAAATAAATATAAATTAATTAATTTTGATATATATACTTATGACATATTTTATGATATATTTTAATGAATAACATTTATTGCAATATATAGACATACATAGTTACATATATATATTTTTTTTCAAATATTGTTTATCAGGCTTTGTCGCCCGAAGATTATCGCTCCGTCATGAAGACTGTCGAGAGCGCTATACTCTCGACCGATTTAGCAATGTATTTTAAGAAACGGAACGCGTTTCTCGAGCTGGTTGAGAATGGCGAATTCGATTGGCAGGGCGAGGAGAAGAAGGATTGTAAGTATTCAAGCCAAGCACACAGGGCGTATGCGTAATATTTGTTGTTTACCTCGCCTTAAGTACTGTGCGGCATGATGATGACGGCCTGCGATGTGAGCGCCATAGCCAAGCCTTGGGAGGTGCAGCATCGCGTTGCCAAGCTAGTGGCCGATGAGTTCTTCGATCAAGGCGATCTCGAGAAGCTGCAGCTTAATACACAGCCCGTGGCCATGATGGATAGGTGAGTAAATGAAAATAGAATAATATGAAAAAGATTTGAAACTGGGTATCATAGGGAGCGCAAGGATGAGCTGCCCAAAATGCAGGTTGGTTTCATAGATGTCATTTGTCTGCCACTCTATCGTGTGCTGTGCGACACATTCCCCTGGATAACGCCATTGTACGAGGGCACGCTGGAGAACAGACGCAATTGGCAGGATTTGGCGGAGAAAGTGGAGATGGGCCTCACCTGGATCGATCACGACACGATCGATAAGCCCGTTGAGGAGTTTGCCGGCTGTGCCGATGAGGAGATCAAGGACATTGAGTTCACCGTGACAACGCTCAACTGCAACCAGCATGGAGGCAGCGCCAGCGGCGGCGGAGAGGACACTCACACACCGGAGCACCAGCGCAGCAGCTCACGGCTGAGCATCAAGAAGACGGGCGCTTTGGGCAAGGTGGTGCGCTCGAAGCTATCGAAGACGCTCTACAACAGCATGGACGGCTCGAAGCCAAAGACATCGCTCAAGCTGCTCGAGTCGCATGTCAGCGAGGATATGGACGACAAGAGTCCGACCAGTCCATCTCAGCCGCATTCTGGCAGCGTTGGACGCATGTCCGCCTCCTCGTCCACATCGTCAGCTGGCACCGTCGACAAGAGCAAGAAGCGCTCCAAGCTGTGCGCATTATTATGACGAAAGCCGTCTAATTAGAGTTTGGTGACCCCCTCCAATGCGGCTGGCAGTGAGACTGACAAAAGCGGAGGGGGGCTGACCGAAATCTAATTGGCTGAATAGTTTGGCTGGACAGTGTGCATAGCAACAAAATGCCAGCCATAAAGCCTACAATTAAAATCTCGAATGACATTGTCTTTAACTAACTAACCAACTAACTAACTATAGTAACTAACTAATTAATGTGTAGTTCAAGTTGAATGAGAACAGCTCTTGTTTGCTCTACGTGTATATGCCTATAAGTAGAGAACAATATACCCACTCACACACACCAACACCCACACCCAAACACCCACACACGCACACACCCATACAGCAAAGATAATTGCAATATTATACCTAAGTGAATGTCAAATCATGTGATCTATTTAAGGTCCTAAAGGCCAAAGCGCATGCGCATTAAGCCTTTTGGTATATTATCTCTCTCTCTCTCTCTCTCTCTCTCTCTCTCCTCCTCTCTCTCTCTCTCCGTTTTTCTAGCTTTGAATCTGAACGAATCGTAATTCTAAGCTCTTAGATGTTTGTACACCTCACGAAGTCAAATATATGTACTATATAGATAATCAATACAAATGTGTTAAGTAGTTCTCTTTCGTAATCGAAACGTGCTAGTCAAACGTATAAAATACCAGATATTTACATAGCATATGGATATGTTTAAGCAAGAAATTTGATGAGGCTATGCATGACTAAGCTATCTAGGGCTATCGAAATTGCCGTGCCCCAAATAACTATTACAACTAGTCCGCATGTGATAAATATATACACGTGTTGTACTCGTACTCTTAAAATATAGATGGCATTACCAAATCCAAGTCCCTATATACTACTATGTTTAACTATATTTAAGCAGCTGATTCAACAAAAAACAGAACTTGTGAAAAATATAAACTATAGCAATATTTTCTGATATTTCTAGACTAGCGAAACTCTCTAACTATATAAAAATATTATTATATATATATATATATATCAAAATACCCTTGAAAAGCAAACAAAAAAATTGATAATTGTGCACAAAAAATTAATTGAATATATTTGCAAGAATTAGAAGAAGCAAAATGAATCGAATGTTTAATTGTAGAGAAGAATTAAAACCTAAAAATCAATTTTGTCAATTTTAGAATTCAACTCAAATCTAAATGGCAAATAAGCAAATATCTAGTGAATACCATTAGCACCTACATAAAAATAAAGGTCAACAAATATCTCGTACTCTCTGAATGTTGAGCAAAGTTACAAAATTTAACGTGTGTGTATAAAATGTGTTTAAGTATATATATATATATATATATGTAGACTACTCTATAAAAATACCCAAATATATATAACTAATTGCTAATGCTTGAATGTAAATTGTAGGCACCATCATTATAATATATATATATATAAATTTATACTATTTTTCTAGCTATTCTGTCGCGCCATTGAGAATCAAAATCCAGACAACTTTATGAACGAACTTAAGAACTTGCTTATGAGTGTATTTCAATACAATATAATATTCTGTATCTTAGAGTTCGTCACTCGAAGATTGATTATCCCTCAATTGGCTTTCAAGCACCTCAAAGTTTTCTAATCTTTCGCACAAACACTTCCAAGTTCTATTTAAATACTTTTCCCATTTCATGTAAATATACAAATTTTGCGTTGATATAAAAAAAGATTATAAGAAGAAGAAAGAACACACGCTTTTTAATTGAGTACAAAAACTCAAGAACTAAATCGTTCGTTTGATGTCCTTATCAATATTATTAGTTAATTCTCCTATTGAAATTCTATTAATTTGTGTAACTATGTAAGTGAATGCAATTGAATCAAAAATAAATCACATCATTGAAAATTCAACAAGTTTTTGGCTATTTTTATATGAATTTAAGTTCTACTGACTGTGGGGTATCTTAGCATAATTAAAAGGGAATTGAACAATGTCTTGCATAATCCTTAATGAGTTTGATTATCGGTTGAACGAAGCAGGAACTCAGGAACGAAACACTTTAGGCTTAAAAAGAATTCTAAGCTTTATAGAGTACTTGTTGAAAACTAGTATAATCTTAGTACCTACACAATAGAATTTAGTGTTAATAGTTCAGCTCTTCTAAAGTGAAAAAACAATATATACTTCTTTAAGAATATTTAAGAATACTTCTTTACGAATAAGTTCATGCTCAAGACATCAACAGTTTAAAGGCAAATAGCTAGACTGCACGTCGACATTTAATCAAATCGACTTTAAAATTCTTGAAATTGATCTAGTTTTAAAAACTTTCTAACTACAAATCAGTAATAATCTTAACATTATTACAAATTGTTTTTCGAGTAGAATTTTTATATTAAGAATCATGTGCCCAGATTCAACTTGTGACTAAAAATTCTTGTTTAAAAACAATTTCTAGTATTAAGATAGCACTTTGAAATCAACATCGTGTTTTTATGTATCTGGCAGGAGCTGGAGATCGGGTTTAGTCCACAAACCCAATACGCGCGACTGTTATTTCGAAGCATATTTCTGCTCCTGCTATACCTCACATTGGTCAAGCGGACAAACTTTCGTATTGACCTTTCATATTGCTGCCTGTTGATGCTTTGGTAGTGGTGGCTGTAGGGGTGCACTCCTCAAAGTCTTCATAAAGTTCATCATTGCAAGCAACACAGCCAGCTTGCAGACCAAGAGACGTACACAGTCTCAGCTTGCAGCCCAAGAGCTTCCCATGGCATCAAAGGTCTTTTGATCTAATTGTTGGCCAAGATTTTGATTTTATAACCAATTTGCAAACTCAAACATATTTTTGCAAAAATATACGCGTTGTTTTATATAGCAAATGCTAATATTTGTATTCTTTTCTTTGCCTACTTTTTAATTGTCAAAAAGCAAAGTTAAATAAAATTATTTACTTATTTAATAGAAAAATAAAAATTAATTTTTTTGTTTTTTATTTTCATTTAAAATTATAAAATATACTTAATTTGTGATTACTATGGACTTTCCTTTAAATAGATTTTTTAGAAGATAATAAAATCTCGTATCTCACCTTGTATATTACTAAATTACCATTTGTATCTATAGAGCAGCGTTCTACTGGTATGTGTTTCAAAACATATTTAGTCAACTTTTCTGCTAAATCTATTGAACCCCCTTTCGCTGCTATACTGTGAATAAGTTTGTAGCACTAAGAGCTTTGACTGTACATTGTATTACGAACTTTTTGGTTATATAGAATATAGGTTAACTATACTTGATATAAAAATTCTCAAATAAGAAGCGAGCTGTCTCAAAAGTTGTCTTGTTATTGACACAACTGAACAACCGAGATCTTGACGCAAGTCTATTGTGAACATTGTTTGGTTTATTAGCCGAAGGCGGCCTTAGTCGCTAGAGGCTGATGGTCTTGAATAAATTGTACTTTATTCCTAAAGTTAAAGCAAATAGTAACAATTTGATTAAGTTTCAAAAGCAGGTAGAAACGGAGCGAGCTGGAAGTGAAGAGGGCAGAACTGTAGAAGTAGTAGGGGTAATATCTTAGTAATTAAAAAAAATATTAAAAATGTAATTAATTTAGAGGAGAGGCAGCAATACTTGCAGATACCAAAAATCTCATCAATTAAAATCAAGTTGAAGTTCAAGTGCTTGAAGCTAAAGCTAAATAACATATGTTAAAGTCGAAGTCTATATTCTGATTAAAGACTTTAGAATAGATGTCGATAAAGTGAGGTGATCAAGTTTTGGTAACATATTTGAAATAGTATAGTCTAATTCTTGATTACTCAGTCTTAATGGTTCGTGCTATCTCTATCTAACAAGGCCTGTCACTGGTGTTACGATTCATCAATATGTTATATAAATAGATTATTGATATATTTAGATTTGTTGATAAGGAAATGCTTAAGCAGAATACCTAAGCTCATATATAAATATATATATGTATAAATATATATATATGTATAAATATATATTTTATTTATTTATATTATGTACTAGTCGAATTCAAGGAAAGAAAGAAGAGCCAATTGAGTTTGATATCACATGAAGGTCGTCTTTGATTCGTACGTATTGTTGTGCAAATATGAGGACAATATGTATACGAGCAGTCTAGGCAAAAGGCGCGATGTGTGCTGTCTTATTTTGGCAATAGTCGTAAAAACGAATTTAAGTACTAATTTTATGTGGCGCTTAGTCTAAAATTAATCAGAGAACGCCCACGGTTAGTGCGCTTGTTAACCAGGATAAGCAAATAGAGCGCAAATCTGATGCTGTTGTCGTTGTCGCTGTCGCTGTCATCGTTTGTGGCACGCACATAAAATGGTGCATAATCAAATATTAGCCATGAGGCGACCTCGCTGCAAACCTTTATTTGCCTTATTTGCCTGCGAGTGGCGTATATTTACCCTGGAACTGACATCGAGACGCAGACGTAAGATGGCACTGGCTATGCATGAGGCATGCGATGTCCTGCTGTGATTTATCTAACCCAACTGTTCCGCAGCAACTATATAAATGCCGTTGCCAATTGGGACTTGCTCATTCACAAGCTGCAAGTGGCTCGATAGTCAGTGACTGTTCCTGTTTCCTGTTCTCTGTTCTGTGTTCTCGCCTGGTTTCTATTGACAATGGCTCACAATAATCTGACTGTGGCGCTACTGGCGCTGGCCGGTTGCCTGTGCTGGACGCTCGTGCTGGCGTCGCCCGACGAGGAGCGCTATGTGGAAAAGGAGTACAATCGCGATCTGTATGATTGGATCAACAATGTGGCACGCTATGGACGCGTCCAAGTGCCTGCCACACTCTGCAAGTATCCCAACTATCTGCCCAATTCATTGCCCACCAATATGCGCATGCCCAAACGAAACTCGGAGCTAATCAACTCGCTGCTCAGCTTGCCCAAAAACATGAACGAAGCGGGCAAGTAAATGTTGATGAAGAGCAAAGTATTTACAACTCGTTTATATAATGATAAAGCTATGATATATAGAGAAGCAAGACGGTATATTACTAAGTATATAAATCGCTTTAGAGTTACTAACTAATATACAATACATATTCAAAAAGACAAAAAAAAAACAAAGTGCAAGAGGAAAGCACATAAAAAAAATTGTTGAAGCCTTTCTAAGTTCTTCTGTTTCCGTATGACTCTCAAAGAATTCACCAATTGCCTGCACAAATTGTTTAAATATATTTTATGCGCATTTTCTGGCAGCTACAAGTGTAAATACTAAGTAAAATATTAAAGAAAGTAAAATGTTTTAAGCATATTATTCACATTGTTTTTTTACCTCGAAATTTTAAGTTCTGAACAGACATTCAAATATGCTGGTATAATTGTTGTTTGAGCCAAGTTAGCAGCTAAAGCAAAAAGCCCGCAGCTGTTTAACTCAAGCGCGAGCCAAGCGAAAATTCTTTGTTTATAAGATTTTCAGAGAAACTTTGTTGTTTTAGGTTTTTTTATTAAAAATTGAACAGTTCTTCACTTGGTTATATTTCAATATATCTCTATATATTTAAATATATATATATGTATATGTGTGTAAGTTCTTTTGGCGCTGTTTCGAAATCGTTCAAGACTTGTAGATATAAAATTTTATGTATTTTAAACATTTAAGGGTTTCTTTTAGTAATTATGTGCTACAATTATATATTTGTATTTGCACTAAAGCAGAATGTTTTAGATCAAGTTCAAGATTAGATGCTTAAATCAAATACAGTATAGAATATGTATTAAATGTATTAACAAATATTTGTTAAATTAGTTAAATAAAAAACAATAACATATGCAAAATATATGTCCGTGTGTGTGTGTGTTCTTGTTTGCTTGTATAAGTAAATGTATGTAACTATGTTTTTTAGCTCAAATGCAGTTTCAGTAGCTTTTCACTTAATCAACTAGCAACGCGCTGCTTGCACACGCATAAATACTCGTACTAACTAACACGTTAAGGTTAAACTCTGCCTTGGCTAACAACTACACAAACTGTTAAACATATCGCTTATTTGACTTCGACATAATCGTCATCATCAATACAGCTCTCACTTATGACTAATTCACGTGCTCCACAAATAAAAATGAAGTTGCTCCGATCCTTGGAGAGGTCACATCTTTGTATCGATCCGTTTGAGCATGCACTCTGGCTCGCATTCTTGCACTTGTTTTTAATGTTTATAAAGCTTTGAGAGGGGAACACACGAAATGGCTTTTGACTTGTTGCGGTTTGTTGTTATTTTGTTGATACAGATTTTGATTGTTGGTATCGCAGACACCTCACATGAAAAACTCATTGGCTGAATGCGAAAGCGGAAGTCACGTTCGCCCCGGACGATCAAATATAGTTATCTCTATAACGCGAAGACCACGAAATGTTGGATCGATTAACTGCAGACCTTTTGGATTGTAAATGCGTTCATTTTGGAAAGCAACAAATTTGGAAATCTTTCGCAGCGTCTATGAGACAATAGACAAATTAATACAATTTACACAAAGATTTAAATAGTTCGCTCACCTTTTCGTAATGTGTCTCGGAGCACATGTATATCAAATACGCTGTTATACAACCTATGCAGCCCTCGCAGTAGGTACTGCACGAGCCCTCCTCTGCCTCGGCATAAAATTCGTTAAGCCTCTTAATTGTCGCTTCGAAAACATGCCGTTCAATCTATGAAAATTAAGAGAAATGTTGGTCAGGAATCTGGTTTCATTCAGTTTTCCGTTACATACCATTCCTTCCAGCTCTGGTGGTAGCCTTGTATGGAACTTCACCGAGGTGCCATCGCTATAGTCCCGTTGTATGAAGACCTTGCCGCCATGCAAAACGGTTGGATTGCTCGTTGATGGTGTGCCACCGCCTTGTGACATTATTGTACTGTAAAAATGCCATATACCATTAATTAGCTCAATATGGATGAATCGATACATCTGGTTCATCATTATCATTTTGAAAAGCCAGACAGACAAACAAATAAATAAACATACAAAAACATTAGCAAAACTAACATTTCTCAAAGCCCACTTCGACTTTGTCAGCAAAAAAAACAAAAAACAATGGGCTTAGGGCGGGGTTCAGGCCCATAACTTTTGACCTTGTAGCTAGTGAAGTATTGATAACTGTTAATAATTAAGATTATTTGCTTTTGTTCATTTTGAAATTAGAATATTCATATCACTTGCACGACCCACGCATATTTTATTACAAACAAAACATAAATTAGTAGCTACAACACAAATTGTATGTAATATGCTTTCTATTCATATTTTATCAAATCAAAATATGCAAAAACTATGCACACAATGTCAACGTTTTGATTGTCGTTGTTTATACCTTATTCAATTAGATATTAATTCAGTAATTATTAAAAATTAATGAACAATTTGCACTTACAATTCGCAACGCACGTAACGTGTACACAATGGCGTCTGACCATTCACAGTTTTCGTGAGCGATTCATCAGCTGTTTGACTAAAACAGTGTGCCCATCGCGATGTATGGCTATAATACAATTTTTAGTGCTGCCAGATCGTATATTTTATGTTGCTGAGCTGCCGTTGAAACTTTAAGCCGTTAAGCGAAACTTGAAAAGAAAATATTTTTAAATTAATAGAAATATAAAACTATAATTAAATAAACATGTTTTCTGCTCAGCTTCTAATGCTCTCCTCGCAAAGTTCGATGACGCCCGCAGTAGAGATTTCAAAACATTCAACAATCGCATTCCCATTCAATTATTTGCACAGCTTGTGAACGCTTACAGTTTTTTTGTTGTTATTTATATTTTATTATTTATTCGAAAAACAGTTTTGCTCTATTTGAAAATGCTGACGGACTATTTAGTATCTTGACAAAGTTCCAGAATGAGGGCTGCTTTTAATTGCCTTCTAAAATGTCTCCTCCATTTCATTTACTTAATAACACTTTGTTTCAAAGATTCTCTTGGGGTGCCCATTGTAGGAGGACGCATTGTCTCTAGCGTGGGCAGTATTTCAAACTAAATTCGATTTCGAGAGCGTTTTTGAAACTTTTATTCACATTTCAGATGGCGCACCGAAGTATCCCTTTATGGTCTCATTGCAAGATGTGTTGACTGAGCTCGGAACCAATTCCAATGCTACCCAAAAGCGTGTATATCAGCACTTTTGTGGCGGAAGCATAATAAGTGAACGTTGGATACTGACTGCGGCCCACTGTGTCTGGAGAAAGTAAGTATGCGTGTAGGAAGATTAGAAAGGAGAAGAGAAGACGAGTGGAGGAAACAGAAGAAAAGATGAGAAACAGAAGAAGAAGCAAACAGAAAAATAGAAACAAATTTAATTATATATATATATATATATATATATATATATCTATTGCTTTAGTCGAACAATGTTCAGACTCCCCTCGTTGCTCGAGTTAGTCATTTTTATATATCCGTTTATTTTTTTAATATACCAATTAAATTTTGTATAATGTTTTTAAATATTTTTCTAAATTAAATAATATTTATAAGAATTAGATAGTTAAATATATAGATTTTTATAGATGAAAACCAAAATTTGTTTACACTCTTAATATGCCTTTCTATATTAAATGAAGACAAATTGAGCATTTCCATTTAAGATCCGTTTAAAATATTTGAACTTGCAGAAGAATCGATAAGATTGTCGCATTTATAGGCTATGAAAATATTGAAAATGTTGAAAATCTGAAGCCCTATTGTATGAAGAGCGCTGAATATATTTACTTTCAACCGTAAGTATTAAAGTTTTGTTTAACAAGCCTATAGTAAAAGCTTGATCATTTTACATTAAACATATATATGATTATATATAGTTCCAACTACCGCAATGATATCGCTCTGCTCCAGCTGAAGCGCCCATTCAAAGGACATTTGACCAAGGATATGCAACTCGCACAGCTGCCACCGCATGGTATGAAACCCAACAACAATGGTAACAAACAATTCGATTAATTGCTAGAAAAGCCGAACTTAATCCTTTGTTCAACTCTGCATTTAGAATCGTGCAGAATAATTGGATACGGCGCCACGCGGCATGCTGGGCCATCGCAGAAGCAGCTTTTCGAGGCCGAGGTGCGAGTGATTGGGAATCAACAGTGTCGCGACATTATTGGGCACATTTGGGCGCCCAAGAATGATGCGAACACGGTCTGTGCGCTGGGCAACAATCAGGACTCGTGCCAGGGCGACTCGGGTGGTCCGCTAATCTGTCCATATGGATCGGACGGGCGCGAATACATTTACGGACTGGTGTCCCATGGCCTGACCTGCGGCATCCCTGGCATGCCCAGCATCTACACGGTGACACGACCCTATTACGAATGGGTGCAGCTCCTTGTGCAGAAGTAACGGATATATATATAATTTATTAATTATACTATATCGAAACAGAAAACATTCACGAATATACATACATAACATGCATATTGATATGATACGACAATGCAAGGAGAGTAAAAATAACAATTACGTATAGAAAAAACTTAGGTCTACAGTACTGGTAGTATTACAATTGTACGATAAGCATATAGATATTTAGTACATATATTGGTACATATACACGCATATATAGATATCATTTAGACTAATTTAACTAGTGCGCATGGCTCGACTATGGCTACTGCTTTTCAGGCTTACTCTCGACGGCGGGCGCATCGTCCACCTTGTCGGATAGCTTATCCGTTCCGGTTTCGGGCAGTGTAAGCGTTAGCAGACCAGCTACTAGAACGCAGCAGCCGCATATGGTTGTTGGAATGTACCAGCCAAGTGCGCCCAGCACATCGACCACATATGGCGCCGATATGGAGCCGACATGCGCCCACGTCGAACAGGTGCCCAGCGCCGAATTGCGTATCTCGGTGGGATACAGCTCAGCCGTATAAAGCGTCACCACCGAGTAGGTGGCGCTGATGCCAAAGCGGCCCAACATCGCAAACGATACGATCCACGTGGTGCTGCCAGCGGGCACAGACAACACCAAGAGCAGCGAGACGCCCGTCAACATGAACAGGAACATGGTGGTAATGCGACGACCCGTATAGCGCAGCATTATCACCGGCACCACGTACGAAGGTATATCGACGACCCCTGTCGCCACAATGTAAAGGTAGCGACTGACTGAGAAATTGGCGGCATTCAGAGCTGTAAAAGTTTGAAAGTTATTTACTCTTTCAGCTACAGCAAATGCCGACCACTTACCCGTCACATAGTAACTCAGCGAGGTAACACAGAACATGAAGTACGACGTAAAGATATATCTGCGGACTTTCGGATTAGCAAAGAGCTCAATAATTGACTTAAGCGGGCCATTCTTCAGCTTCTGTGCAAGTGAAACATTCGTGGCGGTTGCCAACTGCAATAAGATTCAATGTATATATTAAATTAATCTGGTTGTAACATACAGTTTATAGATCATAAATTGTACTTCGCTTATAGAACTTAAGTCAAATGCATTTAAAAGATCTTTATAGATCTTTGACTTTCAAACTGTGGTTATGTGTTGAGCCCGATCTTTAGATCTCGATTTGATCTCTAATTTTTTGTTCTTAATGACTCGCAGTTTGTAAGCATAAGCAATGTGATTTTATAGTCAATTTATGTGTATTAATTTCTTGGGTTGAACCTTTAGCATGATCACAATCGTCTGTACCTTCATTAGAATTCATATACAGATTATACAAAACTTCAAATTAATTAATTCACATGAAGTGGCTGTCAATCTGTACACATGTGTCATATTGAACGTATTAAGATTGATGTCTGGCTCAATCTCGATCACATACTGATCAGAGAATATAATCTATATCACATTGTTTTATTTAAAATAGGATTCTTTGCTTGACGACTAATTTATATAGAGAGTGAATCGGAAAGATCTTTGCACACACCGTCTTCTTATCGGTGGAAATTTCGGTGGCTGTCGCAATCGTGGGCTGAATATCATAATGACACGGCTGGCCGAAGAGAATTTTGTAGACGCGATTGTAGCGCTGCTTTGTTATAAGCCAGCGCGGAGATTCATTCATCAAACTGAGGAATACAGGAACAGACATTATTTATCAGGAAAATATATATTAACATTAAGTAAGGTTAACTCACTAGCAATTGAGGATCAGCAGCAGTGAGGGTATGGTCAAGGCTAGTTGTAGATAGCGCCAGGGCTGTATCAGATAGCCCATAATTGCCAGCAGGATCATGCCCACAGGATACGAGGCAGAGAAGGCTATGGACATCCAGGTGCGATGCTTCAAGCAAATGTTCTCCACAACTAAAGAAACAATCACGTTAGTCAAGAAATTAATAAACACGATGTACGTACTCATGGTAAAAGCCGGATAGAATAGACCGGACGATGCAGAGCCTAAAGCAAAGCGACCAATCAGGAAAATGCTATACCAAGGCGTAAAGCTGCAGAAGATGCTGCCAGCAATAAAGAAGACGGCGCCCAATGTAAACGAAGTCTTACGACCAAATCTGGAAAGTACGTAATACCCATTATATGCAAATACTGGAACTAATTTCAACTCTCATTAGCTTACTTGTCAGCCAGTATGCCGAAGCTGAAGGAACCGCAGAACTTGCCCAGCGACAGAGCCACCTGCGCTGAGGTGCGCTGAATGCTTCGCTCACAGGTGAGCTCCCAGTCGGCCACGAATGTTGTCTCCGGTTGGGCATACTCGTAGCTGCCCTTGGTCTTACAGGACACCACGGTGGGCTTATTGATCTGAGCCATGCGTCGAGTATAGTTGAGTGCCGAGGTGTAAGACATTCGAGCCAGGTGCTCGTAGTCCCAATCCCAGATGGTACAACCTCCAGATTCCAGTTCATATTCACTAATGCTGCGCTTCTCCGCCAGCGTCCAGTTGGTGTGCTGTAGTGCATCAACTCCGCACCACTGATCATCGGGCAGATGGCCGAGCAGCGTGTAGGACGATACATGGAATCCGTTCAAGATGTTTGGCGTTACGCACAGAAAGAAGATAGCCCTATAGAAGGAAATAAAAATAGTTAAGCAGAAGTGCAAATTGTTTAGCCAAATATGCAATTCGGGGAAATTGTTTTGGCCAAGTTTCACCTGGCGCTAATTAAAACGATTTAGATATTTAACAAATATGGCAACTATATATATTTATCTATTGCTTGTTTTACGACACGCAACTTCAATCTTTCACACGTTAACACGAATCTCCGATAATTGAACAGTTGTCTTTTTCAAATTAAAATAGCAAATATATGTGATCTAGCAGGGAGTGTCCGGCCAGAAGATACTTTATACATTTTCTCTTAGACAGAGACCTTCTGCTGCTTTGCACACTTGAAAATATTTTCTATAAATTTCTTTTAAAAGTGAATGGGAATTTTGGAACAATTATTGACATAGAAACACTTAAACACATTTAAAGTCTCCAGATCTTATAATCTGTTAATTGCATACAAGATACCTTTATCAAAAGATCGAAAAAAATCGATTTCCTGATAGAAAAATCGTAGGTTTTCCATTTTGAAATACAATTACGCTAGCTTAAGATCAGATAGGAACTGCGATGAAACTTGGGTATATCATGAAAAGACTCAGAGAGTATTATAGCTTAAACTCTGGTACAATAAAGTTTATAGTTGTATATATATACTCCCTGAAAACAGAGGTTAATCTCTCTCATTCACTGAGAACCAGCGACGCAGCTAAGATAAGCATATGTTTACGTATACCCAATGGGAACATAGCGAACCCCATTAACATACACTTCCTCATAAACATATTCCCTATTCATCACCCTTTTCCAACGAGTAACGGATATAATAGCATAAACGATCGGTGATCAGACTAATAAATTCCACTACTAATTGCAAGAACAAAAAAGTTGCGAAGGTTAGTGACACATTCCACAATCCAAACATGGAGTCGGGCTCATGATTTTGGCTATTGAAAATTCAGCACATGCTGCGATGTCGTATTATGCGAAGCATATGTACGTCGTATTACGACTTCCAATATACATACATAATGAAAACGTTTGCAATGTAAGCGTCATCGTCAACGATTCGTTTATCCGACCGGGCAACCGGAACGCAATGCGCAATATTTACATATTTCGAATGTTTTTTTATTTTTTGTAAATTGTTAAAAATTCAAAGCTGTGACTTTTTATTTAGAAGTTGTTTTTCTTTAATGTGTTTTTTTTTGTTTGTTCAGATACTAGTTTTTGGCAGTTCAACGACTGTCCTTGAGTTAACGCCGCCCTCCCGATGTTTGCATCTATAATCCATACACTTAACTGAACCTCCTTGAGGCAATGCAAAAAGTGCAACAATATATAAATATTTATATACATACATATATATATATATATATATATATATATATATATATATATATATATATATATATATATATATATATATATATATATATGTTGATATATATATACATGTTGATAATTATAATGAGTACCGGTTTTAAATACAAGCATATAGATTGCTAACCCGATTCACTGTGGAAGCGGTTATCAGGTTGTGCTGCACAGATTATCGTTAACGGACACGATTTCTCTATTATTAATCAAGTGCATTGACTGCCCCGACATGGCTATGCATAAGTAATGTTAGACTAGAGTTCCTCGATCTGTATACAAATTATATGTCACTCACGTCGCGTGCTTAGTATTACTATTGGTTTTAGTATTACTATTGTGTCGAAACAGTTAGAGCCATAAATTACATTTTTAGTTGGCTTAAACTAAAACCCTTAGACTAATACTAAGAATGCCTTTAAGCGGGTTCCGTTGTAGTTGCTTTTTTTATAATTCTACATCAGTTTCAGCTGATCTTGAACTTTTAATTGTAACAACTTTCAATTTCATGAATTAAATCATGAACTGACTTAATCCAGTTCATTTTTTATTTATAATTAGAAAGATCAGTTCGTGAATAATATATGTATGCCTCTTTATTAAAGTTAAATTAATGAATCATAAGAAAACCCCTTTTACCATACAAAGGCGCCGCCACTGCCAACAATTTCCAACTGCTTTGTTAACAAATCCTTCATGCTCTGCTCGGTGATGAGCTCTCTAGTTTTTTCCAGATTATCCTTTGACTTGGTCATTTTTCCAATGTGCTTTATCACAGATTCTTTGTATATTTTTATATAAATTATTTGTTTATATACAATTTGCTTGTAACACTCAAAGCGCAAACAAATCTTTTTTTGATAAGAGTTCAAATTGAGAATTATTCCAAAAATACACAATAATAGGTCGTTCCACTTGGTTGAAGAACTTTAAGCTAAACACATTTTGACACTGATCTCCGCTCTGAAACTAGATTTTGCGTGTAACAGTCTTTATATAATCTATGCCAATCACTTGCTCACAAGTCACAGATTTAATGTTGTATATATAATCTATATATATTTATATATGTATATGTATATATAGAAATTGTTGCGACCAATTGTCGGGCGATTACGAGTGCATTAACACGACGTGTAGCCTCTGACACGGGTCTCGGTGCTATTGTCCGTCTCTTTGATTCTCCGTAATTCTCCAGTGCCACTGATAATACCTCAACCGTAGATTCGATCGACCAAAATGCAACGGCAATTGCGATAGGCAAATGCAAAACTGAATTATTTCTCTCTCTCTCTCTCTCTCTCTCCCTATCTCTTTCTGCTTTTCTTCCTCTTCGTCTTTTTGTTTTTGTTTTCACTTTCACTTTTAGAATGTTCTTCAATTGAGGCCTTTACGGTTTATCGTTTTGTTCTATTTTCTAGTTTTGCTTTATGCTTTATGTTGTTTTTTTTTTTTTAGTGAGCTGCACGTTTGTTTTTTTTTTTACTTTTCACTTGTCAAAAATGTTTCTTATATGTTAAAATAAACATAAAAATGAATTGAATTGAATTTGTGTTGTTGGCTCTTTTTCTTGAGCAGCTGCGCGGCAACGTTTCTAATTTTGAATGAACTTTCGAGCGCGTGTAGTGTGCGCCTTTTACAATGCAGTCGATTGCAATGCTACCAACTACTTGCCGCTTCTGAGGCGTCTCACAAACTAAGCCCATGGGAGGTCGATCGCAGCGTTTTGTACTAGCCGCCCGCTCGCCAGAACAAACAGACTCGACATATAACATACACTCAGCCATAAGCAGTGTGTACGCACTCTCATTACAAAGACGCGAACATGCTTTGCTCTGATTCGGCTCTGCTTCGGCAACATTCGGCCACAGCTATTCCCGTTCCATTTCCCATTTACTTTTGCCTGGAACTTCGGCTGTGTGCGTGCATGCGTGTATGTGTGTGTATGACTGTGTTTGTGGTGCATTCCATTTTTAAAATCATTGCGCGTTTGTAAAGAGATTATTTTCTAGTGACAATGGCACACTACACAAGGCGGGAAGCAGCATATTAGGTTAATGTATTCTTGAACCAAACCAAAAAGAAAATTGATTAAGAATCATGCCATTGTATGTTGTTCTTTATTTGGGTAAGCATTATGATTATTTGTTGATTATATAGCTTCAAGTTTCAACAGCTTCACTATCCGCTAAAGCCTGGCTTTTCAAGTAGACAAATAAATATTTTACTTTTTTAGAAAAAGCTATATTCAATTTTAATTTAATTAATTATAAACATAAAATTCTTTCAGTGTAGGCATCATAATCACAGCTCAAATAGCTCAAGCGAGTGTGCCATCCCTTACTGTTACAGCTGTGGCAAGCAATCAATCTGCCTGCTTTGTCGAACCCTGGCATTTTTTTGCACAGGATCTTCTTTGCAAAGGAAGACAAATGCCATTAGAAACGAATGCACGAGCGCTCTTTACAAAACTTAAATATGTATATATGTGCATATAGGTATGTCTGTATATATCAAATGTATTAATTTACATTTTGTCTGCTTTACATTACAAATTAACATTCGCATGGTCGCCAGCTCTGTGCAGATAGTTGTTGTCTCCCAGCTCCGTTATTGGGAATTACATAATTAAGAGCAGCGCTCTTAATTTTCGACTCTTGATAATGCAAAGAGCAAAGAAACCATTGTTTAAAGAAAAACAAAAAAAAGTAAAGAACTGCGAGTGAATGCTATGTAAATGATATGTTGAACCTCTAATGCGGAAGGCATTTGAATTTACATAGGCTCTTCATAGTACAGAGCCTTTATTGTTTTCAGTGCATTGTTGTATTTGTAATGCTTGTGTTAATTTGTTGCTTTTCATTTGTGAGAATATTTTTCCACTTGAGTAACTCTTGAACTTGCATTTGTATCGTAATCCATAAAGATACATGTATGTTTTTTTTCGTTTGTCTTTAACTGATTTGATGAGAACGACAAACGCAATGATTATGATCTTTATAAGAGTTATCAAACTGGAACCAGATTTCTATGCATTGAACCCGCTGAGTGAGGTTAACTGTATTAGCGTTTAGATAACATACCTTTCAATTCAAGAGCTCTCAACTCTGGCCAAGCTCAATTAATCCACACAAATGATTTTTACTACGTCAATCGATCGATCGACACCGATATCAATGGAAATACGTAAGCAACAGCCATGGGGCTAGGCTCCGACCGGCTGCAGGGTATGCAACAGCCAACGATTTATATAAGCTTTTATTTTTGTGCACGGCATTAGTGCTTTTGCTTTTATGTACCTCTTCAATTATTGTTTAGCTTTTCTCATGCATATAATTAAGAATGAGAATTGCATAGAAAGGAACATGTCTAATATAGTAATAATTTAGAACAACCCACTGACGCATCATTAACGATCATCTGCGAGGCAGATACAAAAATAGAGAATACTTTCAATTTATTTCGAAATAAATAAAAAAATGCACATGGGCGTATGCCGTTGACAATTTAATTGGGTTTACCTGGGTGGGTCTCCAGTTTAATTATTGTTGTTGTTGTCTTGTTTGTGGGCAGCGCACGTGCAGCTATTATTCGATATTGGTTACAAGACTCAAGTGCATAAATACCGTTAAGCTGGTCGCATATGCAACACACGCTGCCAGACACACCCACACTTTCACATGGAACTATGGGCGTAGAGCCCATTCATCAGCAACGTTCTCATTTGTATATATATCTAGTCTAGTCTCTAGTCTACTGAAACTGACCTGATTCAATTTAAGTCGAGTGACCGAAAAATAATAGGTTGATTACGCTCCATATATGACTAGAGAACTTATCTTAATGTCGACAAATACTATGTATACTCGCTCAAGAAGTAAACAGGGCATATTGAATAATGCAGTCAGCTAAAACTTGAAATATTGAACTCATCCTAGTGGGAGTCCTTGTCTGGCTAAGAGTTACGGCATTTCTATATCTTTTATAGCAACTGGACTTAGAATTTGGACCTGCTTTATAGATCCAAAATTCAAAAATATACAGCAATAGTGATATATCCTTAGGGGTGTGGCACTCGATTTCAATATAAGAAAACAAAAAATTTTAACAGAGGTATAGATGAGATACTATCTAAATTGATCTTAAATGATGATATGATATGATGAATGATATCTAACAATTTTACAGATTATATCATTAAATCTTCCAGATGGATAATGAATGATGGTTAACTAATGAGCTGTATGTCCTGATCGAGGATAAAAATGTTGAAACAAATTTAATTGTGAACGAGTATTATGCAGTTGGTTGAGCTCGATTGGTACCGACTATCACCGGAGACAAGCGACATATATTCATATGTAAAAATATGTAAAAAAAAAAATAATAATTTTTTTATTTCAATTATTATTAAAGCCATCAAGCTCACCTTATATCATTCCATAAACAGGATAATCGCGCTAAAAAATTTTGATCACTTCCGATTTGGTACGATTATATTTACATGCATAAAACTTTCGATACGACAGGTATACATATAAGTCATATGTGCCTGTCTCATCGCTAAGAGCCCGAGGTTTAATACTTGGTGTATGATTGAAATTTATGGAATCCAATTTGTTGGCGCTGTAGACTGGAGCTGCGATTCTTTAAGTGAATGATTACCCACGAGACGAGCTCGGAATTATGCACAAATATTTAAACTAATCTGTCCAGATGTGGGCTACGGCGAGTAAATTAAATAAACTACGAAATAGTGACCGAGTGCCCGACTATACCCTGGTACTAGTCTGCAATGTCAAACAAATTAGGACGTCCACAGATATTTAAGTGCAAAGATTCAATTGAGCTTCCCTTAGGCCGAATGGTTATAGCCGTAGCCGAGCAGACAAATCAGACCCACCACGAACACGCTGTAGAAGGTAACGTTATACAGATTGAGACGGCTGATCAGACTCAAAAAGTAGTTAGGACTGTCACGGGAATGATTTTTCCGCTCATGGACATCACTCAAGTCCTGCCATCCAACCACCTGCGGCCGTATTATGAACAGCGCATTTATGGCCGCCCTTAGACCACTCTCCACGGCACCGCCCATCAGATTGCGATTGCTGGTGGCTGCCGAAGCTGAGCTGGACCAAATGATTCGATTCCAAGGCTTGACCTGTGGCTTGTGCAGCGCCGAACTTAGCTCACAAGTCAGCTGCTTGTAATCCACGGGATTGAGCATTTCATCGCCAAACTGAGCTGCCAACATATCCAGCACAGTGTCCCGCACGTTGTCCGCCTGACCATTCGTGTGCAGCATGTAGCCGGAGTATTCCAATGAATTGCTCTCATGGCCCACCACCAATGGATCCACATTCAAGAACTGACCCGAATAGCCTTGGTCTATCCAATGCGAATTGTCGTAGCTCAAAAAGAATTCAGTTATCTGACCCTTTGGTTTTTCCTCTTTGCCCCGGGCGACCGTTCGAAAATTTTTGGGCAGCTGCGGTTCGAACTGTAAGGCATTCACCTTGTCGCAGGGTATAGCCAGTATGACGGCTTGTGCTATGTGTTTCTGGCCAGTTGAGTCCGTCACCTGCACATAGTTCTTGAAGTGTTCCACCTTAATAGCCTTCACATCGCACTGGATCTCATTCTGATTCAACTTTTCAAGCAATGTATCGAGCAGCGTCCTACAGGACAAACTCTGCACGGATTTCGGCATGGTAAGATAACTGCAATTGAAACTGTAGAATGTTAAAGGGGCAGAATGGAACTAGCCAAGCCCAGGAGCACCTACAGTTCAACTAGAAGAGTCACTCCGCCTGATGCGCTGCACAGACACATGAACTCATCAAAGTTAATATCCTTGGCCGACACACCGGAGGCCAGTGTAACCAGATTGTACATAAACTTCCGAGATAGATTGAAAAACAGATTTTTACATATGTGGCTCTCCATAGTTGGGATCCGCTTGCGATACCTAAGGACAATGCGTAGATCAGTTAAATTGTTCATCTACAACGCCCAACAGACTCAACTAACTTATAACGAGAGTCGAACTTCTTCATGCGGTTGTCGAGCATATTAATGTAGCGCCAAAGCTCCAATTTAGCTGGAGCAGATGTTAGGCCTCGGTCCAGTTGCCAACAGCGACTAAGCGACTCAATTTTGTCGTACTCCTTAGCCTCGTCTACTGTCACGTTCTGTTGGTTCAAGAAGGCCATCAGCTCCGACTGATCCTGTTTCACAAATCGTTTACCTTCGGAGCAAAGCTGTCCGCCGGGCACTGGACTTTCTTCAATAATTTTTACATTGAGCGTATCTACTTTGTTTAGTATTTTGAGGGCGGAAGTAAGCCCAGAGAGGCCAGCGCCCACTATAAGTACGTCGAGTTCCGGTAGTTCATTGCCAAAAGGTAAGTCCATTGGAAAACTAAAATCTTTTTAACATATTAAATGATCAAATCTGAAAGCTGAAACAAATTCAAGCACTACTCAAAAATTATGTTTTCAAAAAACTGTAGTATACTTTTTGGCTGCAGTCTAAATTGAAATTGATGGAAATTGAAAAAAAAAAACAGTTAAGAATGTTATGATACAGATACCGGTGCTTTAGAGTAGGTATTGAAGAACTTTAAAAGAACTTTATCATGGTGCCACTTAATATAAATAATTATCAGACAAATAATATGCATACTACTACGTCTTCTACGTCTTGGTTTTATTTGAAGTGTACTAGCAAAACTTGGATCATATTTTGTTGCATACTTTCAGGCTGCGGTGTAAAATGAGCTGAGCTGCTGCTGCTTCAAGAAATTGAGGTCTACAACTAAGGGCAGGTTACTACAATATATGTTAACTAGACATACATATCTTATAGTAAGTGCAAGTATTTTAACCTAATTCAAAGTGAGAACGACATAAAGGAGAATATCATAAAAGTGTTAAGAGTGTTAAGTTAAGAGTTGTTGGAGCTCTTCAGTAAATTCTGTGTCAGTTTTATCGTTGAAACAGAACTGCAGTTAATTATTAAACAACGGTACGCTACAATCGAATGCAAAGTTTATTTGATAAACTAAATTTCATGAGTGTAAAGGGGCAGGTCTACGCTTTGTCGCTGTTGATAATGTGCGAAAATAAAGTAGTCGAGTTTTTGGGTACGACATTCGTCTGCTGCATCTACTGCAGCTGCAGTCAGACTCTGTAATATTAAGCTAACTTTTGTCGCCTCATATCAAGCAGCAGTCTATCAGTAAATTCAGCGCTGCTTAAGCTCATATCAATTTTGACATAGACATTGAAATTTGCGCTTTCAACTTTTTTGACTTTGAGTCTAAGTTGTCTCCACGGCATTTGCTCCACATGTGTGCTGTTTGCTTAAATGCACAATATGAATAAAGATCAAATGAGCTTAGTCTAATGAAATCAACCTTGAAGCCCGATCAATATTTATTGTTTGCTTAATAATTAAGTTTACCGCTTTTTATTCTTGAGCTATGCAAATGACAAGTTAATAAATAGCCTTCAAAGTAACTGCCATTGATTTATAAAGAAATGTTAACTGAAGAGATAAAAGAAAATAGCAAAATAAAATTACACATATATTTTATCATTTTAATAGATTTGCACTAAAACTAAAGCAGTTACTCACACGTACAGCAATGCATAGCTCAGGCAGTTGCTATGGAGCGAGAGAACGAGAGTGCGATAAGAAAAAGACAAAAAAATGCTGTCGTATCCAAAAATAAAATGAGAGCTACTTAAACAGCTGTTAATAACAATACTAACAATGAATAAATTATTTGCGCTGAATTAAATGATAACAGTTGTTCAGCTGGACAATGAACTCTAGCCAAAGAGGAGAGCCGGCACCAGTCTCCCTCTCTCTCTCTCTCACTCACTCTCCCTTTCTTATCGTTATCAATGGCTGCCTGACGAATCCATCTCTGTGCAGACCCACTTCGGCAGCTAACTAACTATAACGAATATGAAATAATATATTGTTAAACTTATTATTCAAGCAAGAAACAATTGATTCACAGAGACAACGTTGATATTGATAATTGCTTTGTTTCCACTTTAATGGGACAAAAAATGTAAATAAAATTGAGTTTCTGCTAACGATTTGCGTACAGTTTAACACATGAATGAGTTGGAATACTTTTCCATCGAATAAATAAATGCAAATTGCTTCAATTCGCTTAAATGTGCGCTGACCGCGGCTCGCCGTCAGCCTCGGCTCACCCGCTTGCCATTCAGCATGCTGTGCAACTCCTCGGAATGTGCCACAGTCTCCGCCGTCTTCTTGCCGAAGTTTTCGCCATCCGCAATCGTCTCCGGCATCGGCTTATTCAGCGTCTCCGGAAGCATCAGCGACAGCAGCCCCGCAGTCAGCGATAGTGCGCCACAAATGACCAGCGGCAGAGGCCGCCAGATCTCGCCAAGCAGATTCAAATACGGAGCCAATATGCCGCCGACGCGAGCCACCATCGAGGAGGCGCCCAGGCCCACATTGCGCACCACAGTGGGAAACTGTTCGGCCGTAAATATGTAGACGGTGCCGTACGACGACGTGATGGCCAGCTTGCCGATCATGGCGCAGGCAATCAGCAGCCAGTTCATGTCACTTGGCACGATGATGGTCAGCAGCAGGCTGATCCCAGCCACCAGCATGGTGCCACACAGAATGGTGCGCCGACCAAAGCGATTGAGCGTAAAGAGCAGCAGGACGTAGCCAGGTATCTCGACAGCGCCGGAGATCACAAAGTTCACCAGCTGATTGCCGCCCAGGTTGTTGGTGTTCCACGAGAGACCGTAGTAGACGCCGCTGTTCACGAACCAATCGAAGAAGATGAGCAGCGTCTTGCGACGCAAGTTCGGATAGCGCAACAGATCGAACACAGAAGCTGCCGGCTGGGCGGCGGCTAGGGCATTCTTACGCTTAATCTCTTCGGCCTCATCGACCAGTTGGGCATAGATCTCGCTGGGTATTTTCACTCGATTGACCCTGGCCGCCTTCTCGATGATCACGAAGGCCTCGTCCTTGCGCCCCTTGGAGAGCAGCCAGCGCGCCGACTCCGGCACAATCCAATAGTAGCTCATGAACAGAAGTCCAGGCAGCGTGATTGCGATCTGCAGCCAGCGCCAGTCGTGTATGAAGTAGGCGAAGCCGGCGGTCAGCATGAAGCCCACCGAGAAGAACATCTGCACAGCGACGCCAGCAAAGAGACGATATGTGGAACCCACCATTTCCATGGCTATGACGTAAGCAACCAGAAAGACGCCTGATGTGGTGGCGCCCACAATTAGCCGGGAAATCGTATAGCTGAAGTATTCCGGTGCGACACCCGCAACGACGCCAAAGATCAGCTGCGTGACCAAGGCGGCAAAGAAGGTGGGCTTGCGGCCCAGCTTATCGCTAAGCTGGCCAAAGAAGAAGCTCCCCAGCAGCACGCCCACCATGAACAGCGAGTCGCTGGTGGCGCTCAGCAAGCTGCGACTACAAACCATATTCCATTCGGTGACGGCGCTGTTGAGATACTTGGACTGATCGTAGACATAGCTGCTGCACTCCAGCGTAGCATTACTGGCCGCCGTCCCATTGCCCTGCAAGTACTCCTGGCTGTACTCGAGATCGTAGTAGACACAGGTGTTGGGCTTGCCAATGACGCTGTCATTGGGGTAGGCACGCGGCCATTGCCAGCGGGGCAACGACTCGAAGCGCGCCGTGGCCGCATCCTCGTGCGGCAACAGGCAGCGGAACTCGGGCCGGGCGAGCAGAAAGACGCCAGCTAGCTTGTGGAAGGCGCAGACTATGGCCGGCAGGCAGAGCAGCAAATAGATGCGTTTCTGATACCGCCCAAACTCTCCAAGGTGGGTGATAACGTCGTCATAGCCCATGGCCCGATAGTAGACAGTATAAGCTGATATATGTGCTGTATATGTAATATATGGCGCTATTGGCAATCACAGTACTTGTCACAGTCGTACGATTTGCAGAGCTTCGAGCGCGAGGTTCAATGGCTGGCGCGGCACTCGTTTAGACGTTTCGTATACGCCGCGTGTTGCCGATAAAGTTGCGCGTTATTGGGCAATAAAATGCATACGCCTCAAGTCTGGCAAAAACTGAAAGTTCCTATATGTATATAGATTTTCCGCTTGGGTTTATCAAAGTTAAAGCGCGCGAAACGAACCGTTCGTGATCTGCGCCAGAACGCGACTAAGAGCGATATGCAGCGGCTGCCTCGAGCATTCACAAATATCACAAATAAAAACAATAACAACTATATACTGACAACGAGACTATCTACAAACTCCGAGCGACGCAGCGACGCTCTGTCGCTCAGCCTATGCCAAATCGCAGTTACCCATGTGCCCAGGTAGTTCAATCATTTGCTCTCCAATGACTCGGGCTCTGCTGCCAGGGGATGCAGCGCCGATCATAGCTCAACTAGTTTCTAGGTCACAAGCGGGGTTGGGCTGCCAGTGCCGGCATCGATCTCTCTGTCTATTGTAATGCAGTTGGCAATATTCCAGCCACAATGCACACCTGCCTCGCTCTCGCGCTCGCTCTCACCCTCTCTCCCTCTCTTGCCTCTCTGGCGCGCTCTCTCTATCTCTCTCTCTCTGCTGTTATCAGTTACTGCTCTCCCTCTCCCTCTCCCTCTCTCTGTGCACACAATCTTAAGTTTTGCAACTTTGTTGAGCATCCAAACGTTCTGATAGTATTAGCCGTAAACTTGACCCAGCTGAGGGAACGCCGAAGCTCATGTAAATAAACAATAAACTGCTTGTATAATTTAAATAATTGTTGACAGCTAAATTTACGATATAGTTCCATGAGCTTAACTATCTTGCTGTACTTATTCACACAGCAAATTCTGAATAAATATTGAACTACTTGTCAAAACTTATTTTCAGCCTGTTGCAATACTCTCTTGATGAATTAAAGCGGGTATATTGGGGTTTTCTACACCAATCCCAATGTCATTTACTAGCTTGCTCTGATAGCCGAACTCTGCATCAATATTGGCTGACATTAAGTACTTTCTAGTGAGAGCTGCACAATTGCCGGGAAACTACTGATAGAAAGAATATATTTAAAAGTTTCTGCTTTTCTGACATATAATAATGAAACATAGAGGGATAAATCGGGATTCCCTTTTTATATGAGAGCCGTAAATATGATTTCGCGTGACAAAACTTTAGTTCTTGGCCAAGAAGAACATTGACTTTGTGCCGTCAGAGAATAATTGAAGAGCGTTATCATAATGTCCATGTTAACCAGGTAATAACAATGCGGCTAAGATGCTGAAAGGCTCCAGTGAACTATGCTTAAATATCAAAGCCATCTTTTACAAGGCTATAGTCCTGCCGACCTTCCTCTATGGAGTACCCCAAATTCTCAAAGCAAAACTCTAAGAGATAAACTGATTTTTGGTGCATAAAAAGCTCTGACCTACATAGAGATCTAATGATTCCTAGGTGAGACAGCTGCAAATACCCAGCCAAAGCAGCTCGCGTTTAATCTGACTAAAAATTAGAGCACGTGAAGGCTGAAAAGATAACCTCCTCTGAAAGTAGAAAACGTGAAATATTGTGGAAAGGAATAATAAATAATTAAGTCTAGACTTAAGATGTATATGCTAGATTACTATAAGGTATATACATGATATATATGTATATATATAAACATAAATGAGCTTGAGATAATATAGTTCAAAATCCTATATATTTAAGAGCTTAAGATGCGCCAGAAATTTATATATTTTATATATTTCTTATATATCATATATATATATAAAAATATATATATATAGAGAGAGAACATCTCCTAGTCATCTAAGGCCGCCTTGCCATATTCACACTTGTTCTAAATTCAATTAATTTTTTCGCCTGATAACGAGAGTCTCGTGTTTTCTTAATGCAGATAAGAAATACAAGCGAACAAGATCAAGTCAAGTAGAAAACGGAAACAGCCCAAAAAAATAATTTATAAATTACAATTTGGTTGAAATCGAGCAGATCGCTTCATATATTTCCAGACTTTGGCGCCCCACACAGACGAGACACGAGCCGAGCAGCCAAGACGAAGCGAAGGCAATTTCGAGTTAAGATTTATTTACTTTGGTCCAGGAATAGATACAACATTTGAATATATTTAAGAGATAAGTACATGCAGATAAGTACAATTGTCTAGAAATTCGATTTAGTGTTAAGTCGTAAGTAATTAAATAAGTACTACATTTATCGTATACGCACACATACATATATAGAGAGACATACATATATATTTATATATATAGAGTATAAAAATAATACAGTATCAGAGTGGGCCCAGGGGTGCAGCAGGACGTCGGTCCCTCTTCGATCGTCGATCCCTAAATGGAATTTTGGGTAGGACAACAGTAAACCTACCCTTAGCCACGCCGCTGAGCCCTGCTAAATGCCTAAAGAGGAGAATTTTCTATGCGCTGTTTTTTCAGCTTTCTATTCACTTTGTTTTTGGCATGCATATGAGATTTCAAAAATATAATACTTTGTCTTTTATAGGAAGATATAGCTGTAGATTCGCCAGCCAGAAGATGAATGACCCTTGCAACGCTTGAACTTAGCTAATTAGCGAAAAGTAATTATCGCGTAAAGAACAAAAAACTCGCTTGGGGCACTCACAATGAAGTCTAGCCTAGCCGAAGCCACAGCTAAGTTTAAAGGTCTTTTGTCTTTCAAACTGTTCTAGGCGCACAGATCTTCTGTTCGCAACACCCTTGCAGAGGCGACCCTATGGATATTGTTATGAAACGTGGAAGTCGGACGACTATATAATATAGCTACCAAAAGTTATTTGTTTACCGGAAATGCTGAAACAAACCTCGGACTTCACTTTACTAAATCTTATCAATATGGAATATATCAACAACATTAAAAATGAACACGGCGTGAACTATGGGAATCAATATAGGAAACCCTCTAGGAGAGTTTTGAGCTAGCTCAGATATAAGGTATCTACAAGGGTATTTAGTCTTCGGCAGTTGCCGAAGTCTTCGGCTGCTTGGTCTGCTCAGTATTTGTGACCATTGCTCTTGATCATGGCCGCATTTAGGGGCTGAGCCTCCAGTGTTTCGCGCAGCTCCTTGCCCGCCTCCATGTAGGCATCGGTTGCCTCTTTCTTACCGAATCGCTCGCCATCGGCAATCGTCTCCAGCGTCGGCTTGTTGTGCGTCTCCGGCAGCAGCAGCGACATGAAGCCGGCGGCCAGCGAGAGGGCGCCATAGATGACCAGCGGCAGCGGTGGCCAAACGGTGGCCAGGGCATTCAAATAGGGCGCCAGCATGCCAGTCAGCCGAGAGACCATGGAAGCGGCACCCATGCCCACAGTGCGCACCACCGTGGGGAACTGCTCGCTGGAGAAGAGATAGATGGTGCCGTAGGAGCCCGTAATGGCCAGCTTGCCCACCATGGCGCACGTGACTATGAGCCAGTGCATCTGCTGGGGTACAATGATGGTCAGCAGCAGGCTGACACCGGCGACCAGCATGCAGCCACAGAGTATGGAGCGACGTCCCCATCTATTGAGGGTCAACAGCAGGAAACAGTAGGCGGGTATCTCCACGGCGCCGGAGATTAGGAAGTTGAGCAGGACATTGCCGCCCAGATTATTGGTGCTCCAGGACAGGCCGTAGTAGACGCCAGTGCAGACCAGCCAATCGAAGAAGATGACCAGCGTCTTGCGACGCAAATTCGGATAGCGCAGCAGATCCCACACCGAGGGTGGACGAGTCTCTTCTTCCTTGATCTCCTGCTTGCAGCTGACGCCATCATCCAGCAAGGCGACTAAGGCCTCCTTCGTGATGTTCACCCGATTGAAGTGCGCCGCCTTCTGTATGATCTGGATGGCCTCCGCGTTGCGTCCCTTGGAGAGCAGCCAGCGCACAGACTCCGGTATGATCCAGTGGTAGCACATGAACACCAGCCCGGGTAGGGTCAGGCCGATCTGCAGCCAGCGCCAGTCGTGAATGAAGTAGGCAAAGACCGCCGTCAGCATGTAGCCCATGGAGAAGAACATCATCACAAAGATGCCCGCGTACAGACGCTTGGTGGGACCCACCATTTCCATGGCAATGACATAGGCCACAAGGAACACGCCTGATGTGGTGGAGCCCACGACGAGGCGGGCCAGCGTATAGGTGAAGTACTCGGGCGCCAAGGCTGCCACCACGCCGAAGATCACCTGGATGACCAGCGAGCCGAAGAAGATAGGCTTGCGTCCGTACTTGTCGCTCAGCTGGCCAAAGATGATGCTGCCCAGCAGCACGCCCAGCATGAACATCGAGTCACTGCTGGCCGCGAGAAAGCCACGTCCACAAACCAAGTTGAACTCGGTGACGGCGCTATTCAAATATTTGCTCTGATCGTAGATGTAGCGACTGCAGCTCTGAGTCGTATTGCTCAGCCGATGGTAGCTGCCATTGGTGTAGGCCAGTTCGTAGTAGGCGCAGCTGTCCTTAGCGGGATATGCGAGTTGCCGCAGCTGTGCCGGCAGCTCGTAACTGGCGCCATCCAGATCCGTCGGCAGCGCGCAACGGAAATCCGGCTTGGCGAGCAGAAAGACGCCCGCGAGCTTATGAAATGCCACCGGTATGGAGGTCAGACAGATCAGCACATAGATGATCTTTTGGTAGCGGCCAAAGTCGCCTAACTGAACGATAACCTCGTCGTAGCCCATTGCTCGTCCGACTCGACTGGCCGCTGGCGCAGTTCGTAAATTACTGAAAGGTTTCGCCAGCCAAACGCTGCTCCGCTGCTATGTTTCTTTGCTTTCTTCGGATGCTCGCTCGCCAATTAACGTATCTGCCAGCTGTGACGGTGGCGGTAACGGTGACGGTGACGTGTACTTTGTACCCCGCCGGAGCCGGACGTAGTCAAGAGAGAGAGAGCAAATATAATTGTCTCTGTGGCAGCAACACGTGTTGCCGAAAAATTTAGCAAGAACTGCTGATTTGAAGACGTTTTGGCAAACGAGTTGCTGGCAAAATGTTGCGATTCTCGGAAGAATCGTGAGACAGCAAGAGAAATGAGTTTTTTTTGGTAGATTTTGGCCCGAATGCGGCAAATGCGTTACGTTTGCCCGTCGAAATAAGCTGCGCGATTGAAGGCCGGCGAATGACTAAAAGCATTATTGGCGACGATAAAAAACGATATGCTTGGCCCATATACTGGCCCACAGCCGAGCGGCCGAGTATCCATCATAGCAGCACCCGAAGATGTGACACGCTAACCACTTGCCCAGCTATGCAAGTGCGAGCGAGACGGCGCTAGTGAGAGCGCAAAGAACTGCGCTCTGTTTGTAACGGAGAAATTTTATCCAGCCATTAGAGAGAGGTTGCGAGAGAGAGAGAGAGAGAGAGACAGCGGGCGCAAGCGGAAGACAGAAGCCGGCAACAACTTGCTAAGCTACCCTATAAGCATGATTGCTAACAATGCAAGAGAGGTTTCCAACCAACTTACGCAGTTGTTATGACTCATAACGCGCATAATCACATGTTCGCACTGTACACACTAGCACACGCACACACACACACATACACACGCATGCTTATGTATATCTAACACGCACACACCTCAGCTAAGTACTCGTGCATGTAGCTGTGTTTAGACAGTCTGCTCTATTGAACTGTAAAAATAGCAATACTTAAATAATAATATTTGCATAATGCCCAGCGAGCGATGCAAATAGATGGAAGATATCATTAATTCAGAATGTATTTCAGACATTCTCGTTTTATTTGTTCCCAATCCTGACTTATATACAAATATGTCTGCTATCGATGCCAAAGTCAACATTTTTTTATATATACCCTGTAAGCTAAGTGGTAAGATTGTACATATGCATACATATAATTGCTATGTAGATATCATATGATTGACGATCTTTCCAGTAGGAACCGAAGTTCATTTGTTCAGAGCGATTCAAGAATTTTACTGAAAATCCATTGAAAAATCTGCAAAATATCAGAAAAAATATTAAGCAATCAAATAGTTTCCAATTTAGATCATTTTTAAGTTTTAATTCAATTAACTCATACTCACACATAGTATCTATAGTTGATCACCTTTTTGGGTATATCACCAGCCGTAGTCTTACTCAATTAACCGTACTAAGTCTGCTACTTGCACCTTGAATAAGTAGTATGCTCTAGTCGTTCATTTTAACCATTCGCTCATAATTAATGCTAATATCTATATCTGCTCACAATTCAAAGATCTTAATCATAAGCTAGAAATGCCAATGCGATGAAGGGTGTTCTTTAGTCGTTCATTCCTAACAACTCAATATTTATTTTATTTTAAAACATTCGCTTAAATAAATAATGCCAATTTATTTCAGATCTTATTTTCTCGTAGCCCTCAACTACGGGGTATCATAGGGTCGTCTATTTGAAGTAACTAAAACTTTAAAGAAGATCCTCAAGGTAAAGGAGATTTGATTTGATTTGATTTGAATTCTCGATGTTCGATTGTAGGGTATCATATAGTCGTTCACTTGAACTTAATCGAAGCCCTCAAATATTCAAAGTATCTCTTCAACAAAGGCAAAATCTATTTGTACGCTCGATCTTCAACTGTAATGCATAGGGTATAGTGTAGTCGGTCATTTGCAGCAGCTAACTGCTAGCTCGAAGCACTCTCAGAAATTCGCTCAAATAAACAATGCTAAATGGTTTCGAGTTGCCGGCCTTTCGCAAGTTTTCAGTTGCGCCGAGGTTCATTTAACTCTATATTTCAATTGGAATTTGTCAGCGACAATTAATGCTTTTTATGGGAAATCAATTGAGTCGAAGAGTCTGAAGAGTCGCGCTGTAAGGCTGTACCAGGCGAGTATCGTACGATATGCGCGCCATTCGAGCCAAACACACTCAATTAGATCCAATTAGAGATCCAATTCGCTGCAGAGTCGCATCGGGAGCAGACAAAGGAAGCCAAACAGGTTGGGGAGAACCAGAAAGTGCTGAAACACCAATTGGAGTTATGGAGTGAAAACACAAAGATAGTATGCCGTATGGCAAATAATGTTGCTCTTGTCATATCATCTTTCTATATACTCATTTTTGTCACTTGAGTCAATTGGTCCCAGCGATCGGATGTTCAAGAGCAGAGCAAATCACACAGCATCCCTCAAATCAATTGAGCCCAACATTGTGAAATTATCTTCAATTCATCAATTGCTCGTGCGTCCCGATTTCAACATAAACATCATGAATTTGATAATCCCCATGGCCAAGTCGCTGGCCAAACTGGTGTTAAGCATCGCAATCTTGTGCGGTTCAGTCAATGCAGATTTGGCCAGAACAGATTTCTCCAGCGAAAAAACTAGCCATTGCCTCAAGCGAATGTTACAACATGCAAAAAACTGGTTAAAAATCGCACAATTTTTATTGCAGCCTTTAAGGCTTTGTGATTATTTCAATTCTGCTGTCCAATCAATGTATAGACATTTTAAATACTTACATTTGTTAATCAGTAAATATTATAAACAAATAATACTGATAAGGTAGGCCACTTTAATAATTTCAAATTTCGATATACCGCGCAAAGTGCTGTAGATCAAACATATCGCATATAATCGGCAATACATCGATTTCCCTGTCCATAAATGTGTCTACACACAGCAAAATGTAGCAACTTTTATGGCAGCATGATGGAACGTGTGTGACATGAGCACACATGTTGCCAGTCAAGTCAATATGCAGCAACATGCCAACCAATGCTAAGTGCCGAGCAACATTCTCAAACATTTTACAGCACTGTTTTAAAAATATCAAATGTAATATCGGCTCTATCGATATTCGCATGCCATTTTGAGTTTCTCATCGATAACGATATGTCAAATTGGACATCGCGGGCAGTCGTAAGATAAACATCGAACGTTGCGGTCGGTGCGCGCACTTGGCGCAATTATATACGAGATCACATGAAATTTTAGTTAATAAACAAAACACTCTATTGAAATACGTCAACAAAAAATTGTGTTCGAGGGCAATTTCGCCTTCTGCAGCACATTAAACTGCTAACGGACACAGCAAATTACCATTAGCCCTAAAAACGTAATTCGGAGCGTTCTTTGGGTCGTGTTTTTATCCAAATTTATCATTTGTAAACATTGGTTTCTTTTTTTGCCAAAACGGAAAACAAACGAAACAGAACGAGGGACCCTGATACCAAATCATAAAACACCGGCAAAACACTTCACAGCCGCGCAGCGGAAGCACCAATACAAACAACCAAGCAACAGGTAAGCGCAACGGATTACAGCAACAAAACAACAAACGACAACGAAAACAACGACAACGACAACGACGACAACTCGTATTTGCCCTTTCGGCGAAGCTGAACAAATTTGAGAGCTCTGAGAGTTTCGTTCGCTTCGTTTCTGTTCGTATTTGTTGTTGACGGTTATATACCCTGTAGACATTTATCCCAATATATCGCCATATATCCGAAGAGTCGATTATTTTAAGTTTTCAAACTAGGAGATTATAAAAAGATGATAAAATTGATTATGTCAACATATGTCCGGTATTTCAAACTGTAAACAGAATACCAGCTAGAGCAATCTCACCTAAGCCGCGTTACGATAAGCTAACAGTGCTGCACAAAACGTGACCCTGAATGGATTGGAAAATTGGAAAGAGGGCGCAGTCGCGACATCCTCGTGGGGGTGAAACGACTGCAAATGTTAACAACAACAAAAGACACCACCAACCGCAGCAGAAGCAGCAGCTGTCTCACCCGCACACAAATACACATAGGTATAAGCTATATATAGATTGTAAAGTCAAAAGGCCCAGCAGAAGGCTGGAAAGATAGATGCACGTATGTGTGTCGACACAGGCGCAGCCAACGCGTATGAAAACATAAAAGCATTGGCCCAGGGCCATTTTAATTGAGTGCGGAAACGAGCGTTAATAGGCTGGAAGGAGCAAATGTCTACTCTTATGCGTTTGCTTATTCCTGGCACATTTTGCAATTTCATTTGTTCCTTGGAAAGAGAAAAACACTAAAGACGTGACTAGTTGCTCGCGCTTGCGCGTGTCCATATAAAAGAACAAAGAACTATCTCTCCCTCTCTCTCAATCACTTGCGCCTTCGCTCTTTCTAAATGCATACAAACGGCACATAGATACGTTTGATGCGCAGCAAGGCTTTGCCCACACTAATACACACACTATGCGCAAGGGCTCGCGTCTGATTTGTCTTAACACGACACGAACAGAAGCTAAAACTCGATAAGTCACGATTGTTAAAAACACGACTTCGTGAAATATTTTATAATATTTATTGTTACTGGTCGAGTTAGTTAATTGTTATAAAATAAAAATTAACACGGTATTTCAAGTTTTGCGTTGTTTTCTGTTCTAATTAAAGCTTTTTAAAAATTGGTATGAAAAATAATTTGAAAAAGTTATTTAAATGCCAAAACAATCAAACAAAAATTAAAATTTCTGTGCAGATTTATTTTATTGCTTCTTGTTACGATAGGCAAACACGACACACGCCCAACTCTAGAAGAGAACACACACTCGCACTCGTACACACACGCACGCACATACAGTTATTTACATATATTTTGGACAGCTCTGACCATAAACACATTTGCAGAGCGTGCATTTTTGAGAGCCAATTAACGGGTTTAGCAGTACAGCAAAAGCAATTTTTTTGTATATTCATATATATTTGTATTGTTTTTTTTGTTTTTGGGGTTTCATATCTGGCAATACAGTTGATTGTTGTATCTGTGTGACGCACGCGTCACAGAGCTGACACACAGCGGACTCGTTACCGAAATGCGATCGTCAGTTGAGATACATAGATCCTTCTAGTTTAGGGTCGACAGCTGCCCGAGGAACTTCCGCTGGCCGAAAATAGTTGCTGGTCAGACAACAATAGACTCTTCGAGCCGTGAGAGATGCTCGTTAACCGAATACTCCGCACTCCGCCCCATTCAAGACCATTTAAAGTGCTCGAGCTTTTGAAAATTTGCATATAATAAAAGTGAAACATCTGTGGGCCACAGTGAAAGTTAGTGGATTAATTGCTGCCTTTGTTTCCTAGACTCAGATTAGCATACTACCAATATAGATATAT